GTGCCCGCGGCCCGCTCTCCCGCGGGCCATCTTGGCCAGGAGCGCCAGCAGCGGCCCCCCCGCCGTGCCGGGTAGGGACCGCAGGGCAGGTTGGTGGGGTGGGGTGAGGTGGGGGAGAAATTTGGGGGTTCGGTACCCCCACGAGCCTTTTTTTCCATAGGCGGAGCCTTGTACCAGCCCGTGACGATGGTGACGTCGCAGGGCCAGGTCCTCGCCCAAGCCATCGCCCCCGGTGCCCTGCAGATCCCCAACGCCCAGGTAAGACCTTCCCGCCTCAAATTTCCATTTTACCCGATATTTTGCACCGCTGCAGCAAGCAAAAACCCCAGTTTCTTCATAAATTCAACCCTTGGACTCTCCTAAATTTTTAATTAGCAGGAAACAGTGATTAAATCCATCTGCCGGCTGCCTTTGGGGTACCTAAAGATGATAGCAATTCTTATATTATTGCTATATTATATGATATTATAACATAGAATACATAGTAGAGTATAGTATATGAGATTAGATGTACTATTTCAATTATATTATGGATCTGGGATCACTGGCATCACCAGTCCGGTCCGGCAATCCCAGCGCTCATGGGAAAGACTCATTTTTTTCCTCGCTTTCTGGATTTTGGGCTATTTTTTAGCCATTTACTCTTGTTTTACTCCTTGTTTTTTCTAATTGCAATTAACTACATGGGGTTTCCCCCCCGTGGCTGCATTCTTGCGGTAAGATGACAATTTGGGGTAGAAATGGATTTAGAAAGACAACTTGCTATCCCCGCTGGCTGCGTTGCCCGTGATCTCTTCCAAACTTCCATTCCCCAGGAATTTTGGGAAAAAAACCCATTGATTTCTGCTACGCCGCTTCCCAGGGGCAGATCAGCAAAAATCCTCCCGTGCAAATTTTTATTCTGAAACACCCCAATTTAATTGCAGGAGCCTCTTAAAAAATAAATGGCATTTTAGAAATGGGTGGCACCTCCCTGGCAGGTTTTATTGCCTGTGCAATGCTTTTTTTCCCCCTTTCTTTAATATCTCTCCGTCGCGGGCTTGAATCTTGCAGCAAAACCCCTCTGTGGTGGGAAAAACACGCGCGCAGGGAATATCGGGGCAGGGAATGAGCCCTGGACAAGCACCTCTGGATGCTCTTCTCATGCTGCCGGCACGATTTATTCAGCCAGAGCCCAGGGGAATCGCAGGGACCTGCTGGCCTGATGTTTAATTCATCCAGGAGAAGTGTTTGATGAAGAGCTAGGGGAAAAAAAAAAAAAAAAAATCCCTTTTTAACTCAAGCGCTGAGATTTCTGTTCGGTTCCTGCAACCTCATTAAAACTTCTCTTGCAGCGAGATGTTTATTTTTTATTTTTTTGGGGGGGGAAAAAGCAAGTTTTCGCTCAGTGGGCACGGTTCTCCTCATGGTGGGAAGCAGCTGGGTGAGGAACACGGGTTTGCAAGGGGTTAATGAACGGCAAGGTTTTAACCTCACGTTTAGAAAGTCATCTTTTTTGGGTTTTTTTTCTTTGTTTTTTTAAGGTAAAAGTGTTTTCTCCCTTAATTGCACATTGAAAACGGTCGTGGCATCGGCACCACGGTCCCCAGCTCTGCCGGTGCCACCACAGGGAGAAAAAGCCCATTTGCCCTTTGCAAAGCATTGGCAAAAAAATGGAGATTATTAAATAGAGATCCTGGGGGAAAAATGGGGATTTAATGCAGATTCTTTGGGGAAAAACACGGGGTTTGGATGCTCCCTGCAAGTGCCTGTTTTTTGCACTCGCCCCCGTCCCATTTTGGGTTGGTTTTGCTCATTTTTTTGGGTTGGTTTTGCTCTTTTTTGGGGTTGTTCGTTGCTGTTTTCGGCTAATTCTCTCCCCGTTCCTCACTCCCGGCAGGTGAACCTGGATCTCACCTCCCTCCTCGACGGTGAGGACAAGAAGTCCAAGAACAAGCGAGGCGTCTTGCCCAAACATGCCACCAACATCATGCGCTCATGGCTCTTCCAGCATCTCATGGTGAGCACCGCAGCCGCCAAAACGCCCTGCGAGCTGGAAAAAAAAAAAGGCAAAAAAAACCCCAAAATGAACAAATCGAGGTGGTGGTTTGTCTGAATTTTATTTGCAGAGGCACAAAGCGGCTTTGGTTTTATTTTGGGAGTATTTTGGGCGTGACTGTTTTCACTGCAGGTGGCAAAAATACTCAATGCATGAAGAATGGAGAATTTTTGGGAATGGAGATGTAGGTAGATGGAGGGAGCTCAGAGGATGCAACCAGGTTTTTTTCATGCAAGGAGATTCCTTTCCCATCCACAGAGCTGGAAGAAGGGCAGAAATCTAAAAAAAGCCCCTTTTTTCCTGCATAATTTGGCCAAGAAATCACTCAGAAGCTGGTTGCAAAGAGTTGCACGAGGGTCTCCAGGAAGGTAGGAGACCCCCAAGGTAGCAGCAAGATGGAAAATAACAGCTCCAAGGAGCAACTTGGGGTAAAACAAGACCCAGGACATGGAGCAGCAGCTGGTTGGGAACTTTCCAGTCTTTTTTTTAATGGGAAATTTTGGATTTATGGCATTGAGGACGAGAGCATTGCTGTGTTGGGCCGCCATCCCAAGCTGTGTCGTGCATCTCCCATGCTTTTGGAGGGCTGGAATCCAGATTTGCAAGCAGAAAAAGGATTTAGAAGACCAGAAACTGAAGTACAATTTTCTGCCAGGTGCTAGGAGAACCCCGTGGTTTGAAATTTCCAACGCTGGATCAAAAAAACTAAAAGAAATTCTTCTACTGGACAGTTGGACCTTTGCTCTCAGCCTGGTCCTCACGATCAGAAGATGCTTGAGATTCCCCGTGAGATTCTGCCATCTGGTGTCATAAATGATGTGGTTTTTAACCTCAGAGCATTGATGCTCATTGTTTTATTGGGTTTGGGAGTTTTGTAGCACCAATAGGAGGAAGGAATCCTGGAAATAATATGCGGAAAATGGAGATACTTTTGCCAAAAAAAGAGCCATTTTTAACCACTTTGGCATCCCTGAGGCTCTGGTGGGACGGGGGTCTCCTGCATGCCATGACTTCGGGTGGTTTTCTCAAGGAAATCACACTATTTTGGGGTCAAACAGCTGGAAAACAAGTCATGTGAATCAACACTGGCGCTGGCTTGGGGCTCCGACAAAGGACATGTGGGGCTGGTTTGATAATAATTTCATTTTTGGGGTTGGAACGGAGGGTTTTAGCACGGCTGGGAGGGAGTTGTTGAAGCTTTGAGTGCTGGTAGCCTCCTAGCGCAGGTGTTTCAGGGTGTTCTGTTGATGCACCAGAGAAAGAGCGTTGTGGGTGACGGTGGGTTTTGAAGCCCAAATCCCACCTTTACCAACAAACATCATTAGAAAATCACTAATACTAAAAAAAAAAAAATAATATTCTCCTTCGAGGAAAAGCCCTAAGGACACCAGGGAAACCGTGATGCTCTTGGATGCCACCCTTAAGCCTTGCATCTTGCAAATGCAAGAAGCCACCAAATTTGGGGTGGGAAAATGAAAAAAAAGGGAGGGTCTGTCGTTTTTATTTCAGTCGGGGCCGCCGTTTTGCACAAGCGATGGCATTTTGCTGCCCCATCTTTTTTTTTTTTTTTCCAGCACCCCTATCCCACAGAGGACGAGAAGAGGCAAATCGCTGCCCAAACCAACCTGACCCTCTTGCAAGTCAACAACTGGTGAGCGCATCGGTGGCCCGTGCAGTCATCTTACTGCCGTTAGAGATTTTTTTTTTCATGCTACTTTGGTGCTGTATGATGCTTTTTTGAGGGTAATTTTGGCAGTTAAGGATGGTTTCTGGGAGATGGGCTCGGGGGTGTTAAATCGGTGGCGTTCGTTTGCGATGTCTCAGTGCCCTCTCCTGGCAAACCCAATATGTAGCAGCCTCCCAACTCGGCTGGAAAAATTAATGCGATTGGTGTAACATGCCACAGACAAATAAAATAGGGTAAAAAAAAAAAAAGCAGCTTTTTGGACCACGCAGCCACTTTTGAAAGGGTTTTATATTGCAGCTCATTAAATTGTTATAATCTGGTTTTAACTTAAAATTGTTGTAATGACTTTGTTTACATGAATGGTCTCTGTCCTCCCTGGAAAGGTTCATAAATGCCCGACGGCGCATCCTGCAGCCGATGCTCGACGCCAGCAACCCGGACCCAGCCCCCAAAGCCAAGAAAATCAAATCTCAGCACCGGCCCACCCAGCGGTTCTGGCCCAACTCCATCGCCGCTGGGGTCCTGCAGCAGCAGGGTGGCAATTCGGGGACAAATCCTGACGGTAAGGACAAACCCTGATGGCTCCCGCCCTTCCTGGATGGGGTGGCCACGCATTAAATTATGGCCTTAATTGGTAATTAAGGATTTCTAGAGCCCTTTATCACCCTGTGGGGAAAAACATGTTGAAGAAGTGGCTCAGGCAAGAAGGTCCTTCCAGTTGGCCATCACAAGGGCGCTGGCAACGGGGCACTGCCATCTCCTCGGGAGAGGAACAGTCCTCAAGGATCAGCCACTACGGGACATCACTTGGGATATCTGCTGAGGTGCTGGCGAGGGGATGAAGGGGGAGATGGGGAGAGGAAAAAAAAAAGATGAAAAGATGACGATGAGATGAGAAGACGAATGAGACAAGATGGGAAGTGAGAAGATGAAGAGGGAACAGATGATGAAAATGAAGAGGAACAGAGAAGATGAAGAGAGCAGAGACAAGCATGGACCAGAGAAGATGAAGAGGGAAGGTGGAAATTAAGAGAGGATGAAGAGATCTGCCCAACCAATTTGGGCATCTACTTGCTCAAAAATGAAGGTTTCTTGTTATTTAATGAAGATACATTAGCTAACAAAATTAAGGGTTGGACCCTGGGGAGTGGCTGGGGCAGGTGGGACACCCTATAGGGTGCTGTGGCTCGGTACAGCTTTTCGCTTGGGTTATTCTCGGTTTATGCACTTTTTTTGTCCTTTTTATATTAGCTCAGCAGTCTTTATTTCTATATTTTTTTAAATTTCAGGCTCGCTCAGCATGGACAACCTGCAACCCCTCTCGTCAGCCACGGCCACCATGGCCATGCAGCAGGCCATGCTGGCGGCCCACGATGACTCCCTCGACGGCACCGAGGAAGAGGAGGAGGACGAGGAGGATGAGGACGAGATGGAGGAGGAGGAAGAAGAGGAGGAAGAGCTGGAGGAAGAGCCTGGTGGTCTCCCGGCGGCGCCCGGCGCCGACCTCGGCTTGGACCACAGTGACTCACTGGAATAGCTCCTCCTGCCCCCTTGACGGCACCAGAAACAAAATTCCCCCAAAAATGCCAAAAAAAAAACCACCCGGCAAAAACAAAAATAAAATTGGTGAGAAAAAAGCAAATTGGAGGCGCTGGCGGACGCCCCGGCTGCCGACGGGCGCGCGGGGACCACCATGTCAGCGCGTGGAAGTGAAGGACACATGTTTACAAGGCACATATTGTGGCCAGATTAATTTTTTTTTTTCAGGTTTTATTCTTATTTTCCCCTTTTCCCCTTCGTTTTTGGTAAGAAAAAGCGTTTTTAGGGGAAGCTGTTTTCCCCACGTGATGCTTGGATGCTGTTGGGCGACACCAGGTTTTCACCGTGGGCCACTGCGTCCATCCCTTGGATTTCTTGGTACAAAAAGCAAATAACCCCAAGACTGATGCTTTTTGGGTTTTTCCCCCCAAAAAGATGATTCACAGGCATAAATATCGGCATGTGCGGGAAAAAGAAGTCGGCGAGTGCAAATTCTGCTTCAGGTTGGATCTGAGGAGGGTTTCGTGCTCTTCACCCACTGGATTGCCCAAACCTCCCCGTTTTGGCCCCGATGCTGTGGCCGTTTGGTGACTCTGGATGCAACTTTCTGGAAAAGGGAGGAAATTCCCCCAAATCTTTTAATTTATGTGCTAAAAACCCGTCGAATCTGGAAAAAAAAACCCACCCCATCCTCGTCCTTAAGGGCTGAGACTGGACGCAGAGTTGGGGCGAAGCCTGCCAGGAGCGAGACTTTCCCAGGGTGTTTTGGCACCAAGTCAGGAAAAAGTGGGGGGAAAAATGGGTTTAAAAAATGCAGATTTGCACCCAAAATTGAATGGCGACCCCCAAGATTCACCTGGGTGGAAGGAAATTCAATATTGTTGCTGGAAAGATGGTTTCTCCCTGATGTTATCCACCCGCGTGGGAAAATGGTGTTTTACGCCAGACGAGCCATGGGGGAGGGCGGTTCTGGAAAAAAAACAACGTATTTTGTGTTTTTTTTTTATAAATGCTAGCAAAAGGGTGAATTTCGCCTTAAAATGTGGCGTGGGGGAAAGGCAAAAGCAAACCCGGGTGATACGGGGCAAAAATAATAAAGGAATTTTCTTCTGCAGGTTCCTCCAGTAAATGCAGGTTTCTGTAAGAAGGATATTTTTTTTTTTTTTTGGCAGCTTTTTGCCGGTTTTGTCCTTTTTTTTTTTTTTTGGCTCTTGAGGAGTTGAGAAAAAAAACAAACAGCAGCTGGGGGGAAAAAAAACCGAGTGATGCAATGGGCAGAAAAGCCTATTTTTCGATACTGATCTGGCGTGAATGTAATCTGTAATTTCATAAAGGATTCATTGTAATTTAGTATTAATTCATGGCCATTTATTATAAAGTGCTACGAGATGAGGTTTCGCAGCTGTATTTTATTGGCAGCTTCTTCCTGCGAGCGGAGAAGCCCCAAAATGGGTGAATAACCCCCCAAAATGGGCAAAACTCCCCTCAAAGAGGCGAAATCAGCTCCAAAATGGACGAAGTGACCCAAATCGGCAAGCGAGCGATGCGGCGCAAATAGGATTTATACTTCCAAAAGCGATGGCCCCCCAAAAACGAGCTCCAAGGTGATTTTAACCCAAAACGAGTGATCCTCCCCCAAAATGAGTGATTCTCCCCCAAATGTATGATTCACCCCCAAAACATGTGATGCTCAGCCCAAAATGAGTTATGTTCTCCAAAAATGAGTTATATTCTCCAAAAATGAGTGATTCTCCCCCAAAATGTGTGATGCTCACCCCAAAATGAGTTATGTTCTCCAAAAATGAGTGACTCTCCACCAAAATCCGTGATGCTCACGCCAAAATGAGTGATGCTCTCCCAAACTGAGGGACGCTCCCCAAAAATGAAGTGTTTCCCAAGAAACTGGTATTTTGGTATTTCCCCCAATTGAACAATACTCCCCCAAAATAAGTGACTTCCCCCCCAAAATGACTGAATTTGCTCCCCAAAAATGAGTAAATTTCCCCAAAATAAGTGACTTTCCCCCCAAATGAATGAAAT